CGTGGCGTGCGGCGTGCCTAGGGGTTCCGCCGTGAGGACGGCGAGCCGCAGGTGGTGGCCGAGCGCGGCGCGGATCTTCCCGTGCCTGATCTGGAGGTATTACCCCCCTCCCTTCCATGCATCCCTTCCCAATCCCCGGTTTGGCTTTGGATCTTGTCGGATCCACCTCCGGTGTGTTCTGGTGGAGCAGATCGGTGTCCGGGGGAAACCTTGGCCGCCTTGGCTGGCCGGCAACGGCGACGCCGCCTTTTGGCGCCGCTTTCCTCCTTGAGGGCGCTGCCGAGGACACCATCTCTCCACTCTGACCCATGTCCGGGCGAAAGCCCAAGATCCGTTGCGGATCGGGCGTCGGCGGCGCCCCGTGCACTGTAACCTTCCTGGAGGCGGCGCCATGGACATTGGGATCGGATGGGAGGGTCTGCAGGTGAGGGGTGGGGGTGTGCTGCCTCCCTTTCGGTGGAGCGGTGTTTCGTTCTACATATTCTTGGCGACGGCTCTTGGCGGCATGGAGCAGTGGAGGCTTGCCGTCAGATGTGTGATGACGGACACGCGCAGGAGGTCGATGCTGTCTGGCGTCGTGGTGGCGTCGGCGGCAGCGAGACCGGGCAAGGCCGATGCAGCAGTACAGCTCTAAAGATGGATATGTGGCAGGTGGCTGTGGCGGCCTCATACCCGGCAGGCGTCCTGGTTGAGGAGCACGCCGGACTGGTGGATGCCCATACCCGGCAGGCGTCCTGGTTGGGACCTCAGGTCTTAGATGTTAGGTTTGGCTGCGAGGTATGTTTGGTATTAGGCCCAGACCATCAGCGCCCCTTCATCAGCTAGATAGGAGTAGCGACAGAGGTTGCTCAGATGATGACTTTGATCTTACTGTTGTACGACTTTATAAGGTCTTGTGTTAGTAATTAATAAATTGGCCGTATGCATCGTCCAGATGCAGAGGCCGGGGTATTCCTTCTTTTCTAAGAAAAATAAACCTTGGATGTTGTCAAGGAAACTTTGAAACTCAATTTGCCTATGTGGCTTAACTGAGGTTAGTGTTAGCAGAAGGGGTTGGAAAGGGAGAGCTGACTGTATGTTATGCAGTGCTGGAGAAGCTGAGGAGCGCTTGTGCCTTGTGTGCTCTGTTTCTAAAGCGTGGTCAAGTGCACACTGATGGTCTATCTACATATGTAGTTGAGTTGTGAAGCTTACCTGCCAGAGACCCTTTGGTGATGGATGCCGTCAATTCATTCTGTGGCAACCTCTGCTTTTGCTCTGTTTCCTCAACTCTGCTTTATTTGTAGTTAGCCTCCTCTGCTTTGCTGTATTTTCTAAAGTGTGGTCAAGTCCACACTAATGGCAACTCATGGTCTTTTTTTTAAAAGGAGGTGCTCGCTCTCTCTCTCTCCCTCTCTCTCTGTCTGTGTGTGTGTTGTTTGTCGCTACCAAATGGTATCGTTGTTGTGAACGATATCATGCTTTATTATTCCTTAAAATAAATGAACCTTGAGTTGCCAAGGAAACTTTGAAACTCAATTTGGTAGACCATCAGTATGCACTTAACCGCACTTTAGAAACAGAGCACAGAAGGCACAAGCTCTCCTCTGGTTGCCCAGCACTTTACAACTTACACTCTGCTCTACCTTTTCAACCCCTTCTGTTTCCACATAGAAAACTTGAGTTTCAAAGTTTCCTTGCCAACATCCAAGATTTATTTATTTGAAGGAATAACAGAGCAGGATATCGTCCACAACAACGATAGCATTCAGTGGCGACAAACAACAGAGAGAGAAAAGCAAGACTTGTCAACCATATGCTCCCGCCTCCTACCGCCAACAGGGATGCATAGAGGCAATTGCTACTGTTTTCTTTAATTATTATAAGCCGAACCTGTAGGTATTTCTTTCCATGGTGTAAATTGCTGCTGTTTAAGTCCAGGAAGCATGCACATTGGAAATCAAGATCCACGGTCATAGCAAGGTACTAGTGTCTCATTTGGCCTCAACAACATCTTTCCCAGCACCTTCTTCGGGTCTCACCTTCGCCTTCTCCAGCATCTCCAATCCTGGGCGTGTTTGCCCGCTTTGCCCTTGCCCGAAAGCCGCTTCTACGAGGCGTGCGGCATCATGCTCCAACATCCCCTGTTCCTCCCCTACCTGCACATAATTAGGTCCACTTAAAAAAGCTGAACCTTTAACACAAGTACACAACTATCCACAGTTCCATTTTCTAAATCAACCACACACTCAACCTGATATGTTAGAAGCTCCCATATTCCTTAAAGCAGAAAATTACTGGCTTTGATTCCCCAGTAAAGGCTAATAAAAACACTATATGTACCAGCTTCTATATCAGTAATCACCTGAATAGACTTATTTACCTTGGAGAAATATTACCTCCAGACTTCGCCTCGGTTCTACTGGCTACGTCACCAAGAGAGGATCAGAAGAATTTAAGACAGTGGACTGTGTAAATTACCTGTGCGCCATGCTCCATCTGCTGTCCCTCTAATCCTGCCACTCCTTCCATCCCCTGTGTAAACATTGCCATGTTACTGCTCTGCCCATTTTCACTAGCAAAAATCATTCGAGTGGTCGGAGCTATCTCCATCTTTCGTTCCTGAGCTTGGATGTTTTTGTTTCGACACTTCTCTTTGAACTGGCACTCTTGTCTTCTCTTTTTGCAGCAGTGTTCCCATGAACTTGTTCAGACTTCAGAATGCGTCGAGGCAGGTGTCTGTACACCACCGGAACGAGAAAACAGGAATGGCTATGTGCATCATTTGTTCTCTTCAGGATGTTGCGGACAATATTTTGAGACGTGGTCTGGTATGGGTGTAGTATTTCTTTCGGTGTCAGTGGATCATTTGTTCTCTTCGGGATTTGAACAGGCTTTGACATGTGGCAAAGACTGAACTTGTTCTTCTTTAAGAAGCTAAAAGGGTCGCAGAAACTTTTGGTACACTAAACCCTCTTGTATGTTTTTACGGAGGAAGTTAAAGGTAAAGGGAAGACAAGTTGAGGTGATGGGCATCGTCAGAGAACAGGAAAAAACAACTAGTTACTGCCAGATAGGAGCAGAATGTTCTAAAAAAGAATCACAGGCGAAATTTTTTCACGGGACAGCCGACTTTTGGGGACAGTCGGGTCAGCCACGTGGCGCTGGGACAAGTGCGCTCTCAGGAGCAGAGGAGCCGACACACAGAGAGAGATGCCAGATAGGCGGCGAGCCAATGTTTCTGCCCGTAGAGGTTGCCCGTCGACGGCGGCCGGCGGCATCCTGTACCTGAGCTTGAGTGGAGTTACTTATCGCGGCTTGATGTGTAAGTGTTTTGCCATCTGTAGCCAAGGGTTTTGGCTACCGATTACCAAAAAATTACCGATGGCCGCGGAGATTCTGTGATGTCCAGTTAGTACATTCCCCTGACTTATCTTAGGTTGCCTCTCAAGCCAGTTGGCGTGTTGGCTTGCAAGTTATTTGTCCTGGGGTGCACGCTTAACTATGATTGAGGCTGTGCTGTCCTCTATCCCAAACTATTTTATGGCATGTACTAAATGAAACTGTGGATCACCTAGTCCTACGCTGCGTCCTGGCTCATGAGATTTGGGACAGGCTGGGTGTCCTGCATAGTACCACGGAGGATTTCTCGCTGTTGAAGTTCATAGAGAAGTTGTTGTGTGAAGATCGTTGGTGGATGTTTATCACCGTCGCTTGGGCTGCTGAGCTTTGGAAGGTCAGGAATGCAAGAGTCTTTGACGGAATCTTTGTCTCTCATGCCAGCTCCTGCTATAACATCTGTGAGATGCTAAACCACTCACAGATCGAAGAGGCTCACACATATATTTTCCCTAGCTAGAAGATAAACAGCAGCAGCATTGATCTGATGAATTTATTCATTTATTAATTATTATCTACATCCAGTAGGTGCTTTCATATTTTTTTCATCCAAATGGACTGAAGATATTGACATAATCTGATTCACTCATTCTTTGATTGAAGAGATGATTTTCTCTGACTAGGTAATAATCAATCACAACAGTTGCATTGATCTGGCTACAGGTGACCTGATTGGATGCATCTCATTGTGCTGTCTTCTGTTACAAGCAAAATACTTTTCTTATATGTATGTAGTAGTAACTATCATATGTTTCTTTTCTCCAGGATCAAATCCAAAGAAACACAATTATTGCTCCTATTCTAAGGAAGATCCACCTCCGATTCGTCGGGTGCGACCACAAGCCGCAACAGAGCACCCAAACAGGCTGCTCAACAGCGTTCGGTTCAGCGCTGCTATCCCTCGCGTCGTGCCAGAATGCCAGATCCTCGACGCCAAGGCGTGCCACCTGCTGCGACATCATCCCCTGATGATTCGCTGCGGGGAATGCCACATATACGGGGATCCAGATAGTAATTCAGGACTAGGCCATTCCCACGAGGAACGGCCCCGAGTTCTCGTGGCAGTGGCTTCCCCAATATTTGGACATGAGTTACGCTGGAAAGGAAGTATACATGATGAATATATCAGTGCAATGGGACAGACAAATGATCATTCCGAGCAAAACAATATAGTAGTATTAGTATTTATTGCTCGACAACTCACCATATGTAGTAGAGGCCATCAAATGTCTGCTTCTGAACTCTCCCAAGAAGCTCAACCTTCACTACCCCACCAATACAAAGAACCGGGTGTGGTAACTTGAAGGATTGCAGAACATTTTCCTGGACATCATGTTACTTACTCAGCAGGTTTACGGCACAAGGCTACTGCAAATATCTAGATATTATTGAACAAAATCCAAGTGACCTCTGTCATAAACACGTCTAGAACACTGCTACAATAGATCGATCAAATGCAATTTCTTCATGTTCATCCTTTCAAGAAAGTTCTGGCTCAGCTGTATGGCTTATTTATACACGAGATCCTGTGCTCAACGGGTAAAAATAATGAGCTTGTGAATATCATCTACTCAACAGACCTGCAGCATTGGAAATTCTGGAGATGTGTAGGTCCAGACATAGTTTCTATCATCAATCAACTGTCCCTCATTTTCATCACAAACGAGTGCTTCAGGGCGTAGCGGTGACCTTGGATAGCCCGTCTGGAAGCGGATGCTCTTTGCCGAATATATCGGGTCACCAATCTGGAAAAGTGCTGCAAAAGTATAAAGTTAATTAACACACGAGGCACTTATGTCATTCTTTTCTTTTTCTTTTGCACCATACAGAAGGAAAGAATGCTGTGCTGCACTGCTGTGTTGTATTGTCTTAGGACAACAAACCTTTGAAGGGCTTCATCTTGATCTCATCGACGAGGCAAAGATCCGCCTGGAGCCTGTATATGAGGTACTCGGGTGCGGCAGGATCCCTGTTGCCACGGCTGGACCAGTAGGAGGGCCTAAACTCAACGAGGTCCATGGGCTCGATGGTGTTCTCGATGGTTTCCACAGGGAAGTTGTCGGTGCTGGACGCGCCGATGCAATGGATGATGCAGTCCCTTGGCTTGTATGGCGAGAGGAGGCCGTGGGCGAGGTGCGTGTACGCCCTGTGATCCCGGTTGAGCTGATCCTGGCGTTTGGTACTGCTGGAGCCAGAGGTGATGACGTCGACGTGCGTGAAGGTCGAGACCTCCGGGTAGGCCCGTAGGCACTGCAGCTTGCTGAACTGGTTGGCGATAACTGGATAAGAAAAGCGATTCAGTTTAGAATTTATAACAGACACAAGGTAGTGTAGCAGATTAGCAAATTAGCAGCAGGTGGCATGCTGACCTCGGCGATTATGTGGTCAAATGGATCGGAAATTAGTACTATTGAACAGCTAGAGCAGAATCCAAAATCTAGATACAGACAGTATGGATGCATAGGGAGGGAGGGGGAATAGGTCAGACGCAGAAAGAGAGATGAATTGGTACGAACCGAATTGCCGCCAGGAGCGGGAGACGGCGGATGCGCGGGCAAGGTCGGCAGGGTCGTCGAGCATGGTGAAGATGGTGGCAGACGCGCGGGCGAGGTCGGCTGGGTGGTCGAGCATGGTGAAGGCGGTGGCTGAGGTGCCGACGAGACCCGCCGTCGACAAGGACGAGCAGGAGGAATCCTCCATCCCCTCTCGTCGCCCCCAACGAACCCCAGACAAAAATAGAGAGTAGTATTCAAATATAGGCTTCAACCATGCTTGGAATTCATGTTAACTAGCTAATTGTCTTCCTAGTACTATCTAGTACTAGCTAATTATCTGCTTAGTTCGTTGTTCTCTTGCACTGTGCATAACCATGGCAAGCTCTGCTTTTAAAATTTGCCCTGCATCTGTAGAGGGAGGTCTGGCTGGGTTTCTTGTGCCCCAAATGGCCCAGCACAGCTGATCAGAAGATCGACCCACCTCAATGAACAAACACCAAAGGTTAATATGTTAATTTGTGCATCGATAGATTGATGGCCAGGAGTGCAGTCTCATTTTTCGGGGGGAAAATGAAAATCTTATCGCCAATGGAATTGCACATAAATTAAGGTCTGGCATAGATGTGATGATTTAGATGTGCAATAATAGAACTATGTTTGAACTGTCTTGGATGCCGACACCGGTATAGACAGCAGCCCTTCAATAACCGATGGGGAGATAGGTGTCATGATTTAGATGTGCCATAAAAGAACTATGTTTGAACAAGTCTTGGGATGCCGACACTGGTATAGACAGCAGCCCTTCGACAACTGATGGGGAGATAGGTGTCATGATTTAGATGTGCCATAAAAGAACTATGTTTGAACAACTCCTGGGATGCCGACACTGGTATAGACAGAAGCCCTTCAACAACCGATGGGGCGAGCTGCTCACTAAGAAAAACCATTTAGTTCCGACTTAACTTAGCCGGTGCCCTCGTATTGTCTAGATTAGGGTGCATATGCTACGGTTTGGGTAGGACTAAAATACACTACCCATTGTTAAATTAGGGTATCATGTACAGCTCCTCTCTTGTAGATGGGCCTAAACTAAAACAGGGATGAGCTGGGTGACAGAAGTGGTGGACTTAATTAATTGCAGCATCTCTATCAGTGGTTACATGCACAGAGGTCATGTTCGTACTGGTGGTGGAGCTTAATTTGCGGCTAAGCAGGGGGGCTGGGAGGTGAATTAGCTAGGACGCCATTTCACAGCTAAATTACTTCTGTAAATAACAAAATAATACTGTATGCTCAATGGACATAATAAGGATATAGTGGGAGAGTATATAATCTGCCCTTTAGGTCCGAATGTCCGATCCATGCAAAAGGTAGACTATTTTTGACAACGTTGCAACAAAAATATGCATCGACAATATCATGTCCTAAAGTGTCAAATCCAAATTCACACTTTAAGAAATAAAGATACAAAATTATGTGGTGTAAAGTAGTTTGGTGCAAGTAGATTCTGAATTAGGTGCAGTTCTATTTCATTGGCATTCCTCTTTTTGTTTCATGACACATGCATTAGTTGAAAGTTGAAGCTATACTTGATCTTTGAGATATACTCCCTCCCTCCGGAAATACTTGTCGGAGAAACGGGAGTATATGATAGATGAACCTTGTGTGAATGTTGCTAAGAGGGCATGCTTATCTCCCTAGATTGTTTAACAGGAGGCCAGTGCCTGATTGCCAGGTTGACCAGAAGGAAGCTTCGCTTCTCGTTCAAAGTGGTGCCATGAACGCATTGATAGTGTCTAAGCTGACAAGCATATATACGCAATGAAATTGAAGACTGTACGTCTCAACTTGAACAAGTTTATGTTGTTAATTGGCATTATCTCACAATATATGTACAGTCTGTATATATGTAGTTAAATAGTGCAATAATGGTTAATTTGTTTTGAAGACCATGTCAACTAACCTGCTTGAAGGGTTGGGTAGCGAACCATGTTTGATGAAACCACATATGTATGCTGAGTTAGAATGAGAGAGAAATATGCGTACAGAATTTTTCGTTACAATTTTCAGTTGCAATATGCCTACAGAAGATTTGAAGGATATATAACACGAGAATTTTGTAAAACAAATGTAGTGATACTACTTCCATGGTCAGTTACATGTAAACACAACGGGGTACTAGTTGTCTAATTTCTGAAATGGGTAGATTTGTTGAATTAAGACAACCATTAAGCCTTGATAGACACCAGGTGTTTGCACGTAGTACCATGTGCATTAGACATGGTCAAAGCCTAGATCAACACGATCAGTTGAACCAATGCATGTTATACCATGTGCATTTGTTACATGCTTTAGACCTCCTATAAAAAAGAGAAAAGTGGACAAAATATATGAGAAGAACTAGTTGATTTAAAGAAAGAGTAAAGTTGCAATACAAGAGAAGTTTATTTGATCTCAGGTTCATTTAGAAACAACTATAAAGACGAGCGTGTGAGGACATAACTCCCCCCACCACAAACAAAGCATTATTGTGCACAAACAGACCAGACAGCCAGCTGCTGGGAGCGACCATGGACCTCGCGACGGGGGCCATGGGTAGCCTGCTCCTCAAGCTTGGTGAGCTCCTCATGGAGGAGTACAAGCTGCAGACCGGCGTCAAGGAAGATGTTGAGTATCTCAAGAGAGAGCTGACAAGCATGTATGCTGCCCTCTGCAAGGTGGGGGGCGTGCCGCGAGACCAGCTCGATGAGCAGGTCAAGCTCTGGGCGAACGAAGTCAGGGATTTATCGTTCATAATGGAGGACATCGTCGACAAGTTCCTCGTGCGCATCGAGGGAGCTGAGCCTGCCATCAAGCCAAAAAAACTCAAGAAGCTCATGAAGAAGATGGGAAACTTGTTCAGCAAGAGCAAGACTCGCCATGAGATCTCCGATGAGATCAAAGACATCAAGGTCCGTGTCAAGGAGGCGGCTGACCGACGTGATAGGTACCGGGTGAATGACGTTGTTGTTAATCCAGTTGGCACAGTCACTGTTGACCCTCGCCTATTGGCTCTGTACAAGGATCAGAAAGAGCTCGTTGGTATTGACGATTCATTGAACAAGCTAAGAAAGATGATGAGTGATGGGGATGGTAATGCATCCAAGCAACTCAAGATACTCTCTATTTTTGGATTCGGAGGCCTTGGCAAGACAACTCTTGCCAAAGCAGTGTATGACAAGCTTAAAGTGCAGTTTGATTGCAGTGCTTTTGTTCCGGTAGGACGGAACCCTAGCGTGAAGAAAGTTCTTAATGACATACTCCTTGAAATTGATGGGCAAAAGTACTTGGAGTTGGATGAAAGGCAGCTAATCAACAAACTCAAAGGATTACTCGAGAACAAAAGGTATGCAGCTTATTATGTTGTTTCATATACTTTAAGTAGTAAATAGGGGAGGTTGCATGAAAGGCATCCAATGTTGAACTCTAAGAACAAGAGGTATGCAATAAATCAAATAGTAAATGAGGGGAAATAGCGTCAACCCTGAGAAGAAACAAGTTAGAGATGAGTGATTTTTTTTTGGACATATTACAAGAGAAGGGTCTGGATGATCTATCATCACTGTTGTGTATTTCGCAAAAAAGTGTGATTTTTGTGGATAATAATGTATTATATCAAGTTTCTCTACATTCTTTGTTATAATTTGGCTTGGCACATACCGTTGAATCTTCGTCGGTGTACATATATTCTAGAACATCTTACAATTGATGTCAATAAAAAATTATCTGTAATAGCTCAAAGTATCTAGATTGGGGAATTTTGTTAATCAAACCTAGAATTCTCGATGATGAAATAGAATTAAACTCTGCTCAAGCATACATCCGATTTAGATTCCTCAACAAGTAGGCTGACATGCATGCATCCTCGTTTTATAGATATTTTGAATCCTTGGGGGCCCTATAAAATATTTTCACTAATTTGTGATATCTCTTGTGCTATGGATGGTGATGACAGGTACTTGATTGTCATCGATGACATATGGGATAAAAGAACATGGGAACTAGTCAAGACCGCTTTGGTGTGTAATAATAATGGAAGCAGGATAATCACAACTACTCGTATACTCAAAGTTGCCACAGCGAGTAGTGAAGTATACAAGCTACAACCACTTTCTCCTTATCTATCCAAGGAGTTATTTCATAGAAGACTATCTTGTGATGAAATAGAATGGCCTAATCATCTGCTGACAGAGGTATACGATAAGATTTTACATAAATGTGGTGGTGTACCATTGGCTATAATCACAATAGCTAGTTTGCTTGTCGGTAAACCTGTGGATTTTTGGTCTAAGGTACACACTTCAATTGGTTTTGGGCATGAAGAAAACGAAGACGTGGAGAACACGAGACAAATACTTTTATTTAGCTATTATGATCTACCTTTTCACCTAAAGACTTGCTTATTGTATCTAAGCATATACCCCGAAGATCATCTGATTGAAAAAGATAGTTTGATATGGAAGTGGGTCGCCGAAGGTTTTATCCATGAGGAACCAGGGGTAGGACTATTCGAGATTGGTGAGAGGTACTTCAACGAGTTGGTGAACAAAAGCATGATAATGCCGGTAGAGGGGTCCCTGTATCTTGGCATCAAAAGGCTTGTTGGCATCATAACTGGATGTCGCATCCATGACATGATTTTGGATATGATATGCCTATTGTCAAATGAACAAAATTTTGTTACTGTATTAGATAATAATGAGCAATATACAACTTCACATTGCAATGCTCATAGGCTAGCCGTTCATCGTAGAGTCCAACCCTTGGCTAGCACATCTACATCACGAGCAAGGTCACTTAGTGCCATGTGCAACGCTGAGATGTTGCCATCACTTTCATGCTTTGAAGTTTTGCGTGTCCTATCTTTAGAAGGCCCCACTAATTCGTGCAACACCAATCATCTTGAGCATGTTGGAAAGCTAGTTCACCTGAGGCACCTGAAACTAGCAAGCATGGGCGTCTGTGAGGTCCCAAAGGAAATAGGATATCTGAAGTTCTTGGTGGTATTGGACTTGGGTCGAAATAGCATAAGTGAACTTCCAGAGAGTATTGGTCGACTAAGTAAACTCAAGTGCTTGAACATCTGTGAAACAGACATTGAAGTGCCATATTGGATCACAAATCTGACTTCTCTGGAAGAGCTATGTCTATATAAAGTTGATGAGCAATCGAACTTTGTGACAGAGCTGGGCAAGTTGATAGAGTTGAGGAAGCTCCGCATTTCTAACACTTTAGAACTATGGAGTGACAGCGCAAGGAGTGTTTGGGCGGAGTCTATAGCTAACCTGAATAAGATCCAAGTCATTGACATTAATCTTATTGGTTCGTTTAGAGTTCCTGGTGATGAGAGCCCCTGGAAACGGTATGCCCTCTCTCCACAACTCCGTGTTCTACACATGGCCTATGGAGAACCTGGGCTAGTTGCAAGGATCAATCCACGGCTTCTTCCAAACCTCTCCCATTTGGAACTATTTGTATACACTTCGGAACTGGGGGTCTTTGGAAGTTTCCGAGAGCTTGTTACCCTCAAGCTATGCACGTGGTCAGCTCTCCACCATGACACCATGGGCGGTGCAGGTGCGTTCCCCAAGCTGAGGGTATTCAAGACAGAAGCAACAATTGGCTCGTTTCTAGAGGGAGATATGCCCATCCTTGAATCTCTCTAGTTCCGAGTGGTTGCGCAGTCCAATGATGACGGCATCAGCTTTGACTTTGACTTTGACTTTGATAGCCTAAGAAACCTCCCTTTGCTTCAGTCCGTCAGAGTCTTTTTATTTGCCCATCCCGCGAACCACAAGAAGGCTGAGGAAATGGTGAGGCGTGCAATTGATATGCTTCCCAACCGTCCCAGCCCTCGTATCCATTTGTTAGAAGTATAATTATGTTTAAGTTAGAGATTAGGAGTTAGAGATAGGATTGGTTTAAACCATGTACGACTTGTCCCCTACTCCAAGTCTTTCTCATATTGTACTCTATATATATCCCACATCTGGGTCAGATCAATACAACACCGGATTCTAGGTTTTCATATTTTCCACATGGTATTAGAGCGGTTAGTCTCACGACGCTGATCCTAGTTTCATCTACCACTTCCGCAGCGCGCCGCCCCCGGGGAGATTAATCTTCTCTCCTCGGGGGCGCGACACCCGACCAGTCAAAGATTTGATCGGTCTCGTAGTTTTAGATCCAATTTTCGAGTTCATCGTCATTAGATCAATTCCTTAGATTAGATCAATTTCAATTTTTCGAGATTTCTTAGATCGAATTCTTTTTAGCTACCAAAAATAAATCTGTAGACCCTCGAACTTCCGTTGAATTAGTGCAGGAATCGGTGCCTCTGACGACAGCCAAATCAACTCCACGTCAGTTGCGCCGATGCCGACGCACGGCTTCTTCACGGCGGCATCCACGGCGGCTGCTCATCGACTCCAGCATGCAGGCGACACCAACATGATCAGGCTCAGCTGCCTCCTTCTGCTTATGCAGCGGTTGTGGACTCTGCGGCACGGCGCGCCGCTGCCAGCCATCCGATCTGCTGGCAACAGCAGATGACTCCATGGACGGGCGGCAGCCCAGCGCCTCGACTTCCGGCTCCTGATGCTTAGCTCGAAGCTCGGACGATATGAGATCTATCCAAACGCCAAGACGAGCACGCCATCTACGTTCGGCCTCGATCGCGCAGGACTACAACGACCAATCGATCTTCACCGACCTCTGGCTCCGGCCAGACGTCGAGGACATGTGCGGGCGACAGGCGGCCCACGCACACGATCGGTTTTCGATCGGCTTCGACACACAGCGATCGCATCGGCAACTCGGACTGGGAGCAGATCGATTCCCTTGAGCCGGCACTTGCACCCATCCATCGAGAAGTCGGGAACTCGGAGGCCGGGAGCGTGGACAACTACATCGGCAAGCACCTCCATCGACCCATGCAGCCATGCACTTGTATGGCATGCACAAAAACAGCACGTACGTGCTATATCAGGCCTCAGGTTTGGTATCGATTCGGCTAGCTTCAACGATGCAACTCTGAGGGCCCGGCTGCACGTGTCTGCATCATCCCGACGCACGGCGACTCCGTGGGCGCAATCAATCACGGGAGGGCATGCAGCATTGCATCAGCTGTCTTCATCGACTTCGGGCACACGTGCAGGCGAGGTCTACATCAAGCCAACTCCATCGACCAGACAGACCACTCGCGCCCCGCCATGCCGTCTACACCGAGCGATCTACATCAATATTCATTGACCCGAGCCGAACGACATCGAACTATATGACTACACCGAGCCAACATACTTCTCCGGCGCGACACGGCATCGACACATCGTCGCCGCAAGGGATGCCTTCAAGCGACATCATCGTCGACACACGGTTGCAACGCCATAGCCGACACTTCATCGCCAAGGTCTCCATCAACATGGTCTTCATCAGCATCATCGTCAACACACCGCCGCCGCCACCTTGTCCACAAGATGGACATCTAGCGTCCTCTGACAGACTTTTCTGCAAGGCGCGACCTCGATGACGGCAATGACCGCGTCACGACGACGGCATCTTCCACGTCATCCACGACGACACCTGCATCAACACGGCGTCACTACAGTGACGACCCTACACGGCCACACGGTTCTGGCAAAACCGATGTGTGCTCGATGGGCTTCCTCCGGTCTTGGCAAAATCGGTGGACTCATCGCCGACGGCACCCTCTGACATCCGCAAGGTGCATCGTCCACGTCTGCAGCTCCGTCATAGCGCATTTTTTTGCGCCTCCGGCTTTGTGCGGCTTCATCATCCACGACGACCACACCATCGACCATGACTACCTCGACCATGGCTACATCATCATGATCGGCTACCTCGACATTAATGGCTACGTCTACAGCAACTCATCGGCAACAACTCCAGTCAACAGCGTCCGCCTCGTCACTTGCGTCCACGACACTCCCGCTGTGACTGCGGGAGGGAATAGAGGAGAAGGCAGGAAAGCACCAGAAGGGGACGCAGTCACCACCCTAACTGCCAACCCATCAGAGACGCAGTTGATGATGGCGCAGCGGAGAAGACGACAAAAGAGCAAGACTTCAAATTCAGTCGTAATCGTCCGCTTCACTCCCGCTACGACTGAGGGGGAATGTTAGAAGTATAATTATGTTTAAGTTAGAGATTAGGAGTTAGAGATAGGATTGGTTTAAACCATGTACGACTTGTCCCCTACTCCAAGTCTTTCTCATATTGTACTCTATATATATCCCACATCTGGGTCAGATCAATACAACACCGGATTCTAGGTTTTCATATTTTCCACACCATTCATATGATATAATAATAAATAGGAGGTAAATATGTGTATATGTTATTCAATAGTGCTGATCTCCATGGAAAGCTAGGCGTGTTTCTCACGAATCTCCGTTCTTATTTTTTTTCCAGCCAAACTAGTTGAGCTAAGCTGGCCGGGTATCTCCAACTGCGTGAATCAAGGTATGTACGTATGCTCCCTATCTAATATTACCTGTATTCATATATATGACGCTGTGGCAGTTTAATTTGAACTGCCAAAACATGTTATATATAGGAACAGATGAAGTACTATTTGTCAGAACCTTGTCTTTCTTTTCTTTCTATAGTAAATAACAGCATTTGCCGATCAACTGTAAAAACAACAATTACTAATCTGAATGCATGCTACATATATCTTTCTCATCATTTTTAAATAACCATGCATATTCCACATGTATATTTTCTGAGAGTCACTTCATACATGTAGGCTGGAAGCATTAACAAATCACCATGGAGAAAGAAAAGTACTGGAAGGCTTACCTTTGCTTGCTCTATTTATTACTGTCTTTCGAAGCAAAGGTAAAAAACATATATTTGCTTTGTTTTCTTTTGTAGCAAATGAGAAAAAACACAGAAAGCAATAAAAGTGTCTCTTTGCTATGTTTTCTTTTGTAGCAAATGAAAAAATCAAAAAAACTTTTTTTCTCTATTTTGTAGTAAAGGAAATTGAAAATCACAGAAAAATGATTACTTTGTGGAGTTTAGTAGCTTGTTACTTGGTTGTCCACTTAGGAAGAAAAAACTCCAAAAAAATTGTTGGGTTCACATGTTGTTTAGTGTGTGTGTGTGTGTGTGTATGTGTCAAGTTTCTGTGTCATTTTTGGTGTATTGGTTAAGAGGTAGGTTTGTGTTTATATGTGTTACTCTTTTTTTCTAGGAAGAGTAGGGGGTGTAACTCTGCCTATGCTAATATCTTTGCATAGCCGGTCCCAAGCCCGAAAGACGGAGGAGATAAACTTATTAAATGTCAAACCATTAATGTGTTAGAAATATAATTGGGTTTAAATTAGAGATAAGGAGATAGAGATAGAATTAGTTTAAACCATATGTAACTTGTCTTGTATTCCAAGTCTTTATCCCACCATGTACTTTATATAATCCCCCATGAGGGTTAGATCAATACAACACAAATATTCCCCCATCTTATAATTTTTACATGGTATCAGAGCGGTTAGTCTTACGACGCCGATCCTAAATTCCTCTACCACTTCCACAGCACGCCGGCCTCGGGGAGATTAATCTTCTCTCCCCGGGGGCGCAGCATTCGATTTGATCAAAGATTAGATTGGTTCATAGATTAGATCAGTTCCATAGACTAGGTCAATTCAATTTTCAAAATTCTATTAGATTAGGTTTTCTTTAGCCATCTCATATTTTCTACATGGTATCAGAGCGGTTTGTCCAACAACGCCGATCCTAAGACCTTCAACCACTTCCGCAGCGCGCCGCCCTCGGAGAAATTAATCTCCTTTCCCCGGGGGCGCCACACCCGATTTGATCAATGATCAGATTGGTTCCATAAATTAGATTAGTTTCAATTTTTGAAATTCCAGTATATCATCTTTTCTTTTAGCTACAAACAAATTCGACGACCCTCAGATTCCGATGAAATTTGGTGCAAGATTCGTTGACGATGATGGCTTGATGGCAGGCTCGATCATGCGCAAATGCTCCAAGGCGCGAACTAGGCGACGCACCCGCACAGGACACCGTGCGGCGGTGCAGAGCACGCGTGCTCGACTCCAAGCCGGGTTCCGTCTCCAATCAGTCGAGGCTCATGCGGCAGATTGCCAGATTCTCCTCCAACACGAGAGCTGACGATCACGCATGCAGAGTAACTAACCCAGGTTCAGTTTCCCGGAGGGATTCAAACTCCTATAGATTAATCATCTCCTACATGTCTCCGCATGCATCTCTGCGTAGCCAAGGTGGATCCAGCCACGAATCAACATCCACGTATGCATGGATGGCATCAAGGAGATCTGCAGCCCGTCGTGGTCTTCTGGTGGACGGCTTCCCCAAGCGCCTGGGGGATCCTGGCGATTTGGTCCGGTCCAGCCGGCGAGCATTGCGGCCACATCTGGAACCTGACGTCTTCCATGCAGGGCCGGGCCTATAGTTGTGCAAAACGTGTGGCCCGCACAGGGCTCACGAATTTTGGGGGCCTCATTTTTTTCTATAGACCTAGTTAAGCCAGCCGGCCGAAAGGCCTGGGATACCGATGGCCCGAAAGAATACTGATCGTTCGCACGATCTACAACCGTGAGCGCAGGAGCAGAACTCCGATCTACGATACTAACCCTAACGGCGCAGTAGCCAGATCGCA